TAAAAGTATTTTTAATCTTAAAATGAATATTACTTTGTGTGATAGATAAGCAACATGCAAAAAATAAAAAAGACATGAGAAAAACATTGCTTTACAAACCTTAAGACTTAATATGTATATGAAAGCATTGTAATGATTACTAATAATCTGCCAAATTTCATTAACATTCGCTTACTAATTTAAAAGTTATAGCATGAAAACTATAATAAGCACAAAATGGTTACAAGGTCGATTTCACAAATAACCAATATTTCTAATTGACATTTAATCTATCAAATGACATATTATATTATGTTGTTTTCTGGACAGAGAAATGTCTCTTTCAGTTCAAAATTCATTCCCATGGGAAACATGTCGAATGTTTAGTGGCTTCTATCACATAGTTAGAAAGCTAGAAATATTATGATAGTTACTGTATATTGTCTGCTTTTTATGTGTTGTTATTCTGTGTTCTTAGGTGCATTATTTATTCAAATAAAAAAATTTAGTGTAGTAGTGGTAGTACCTTTACTATAAAAAAAGTAAGGTTAAGTTTCATCGATAGTCGACAGGAAAAAAAAAAATAAAGACCCAGATAAGCACTATATTTTTTGTTTTTTGTGTGTATTATATATTTATTATTAAAAAGTAACTAAAATTTAGAAACTTTTTAGGTTAGATTAGGTAAAATAAAGAAAAAAAAAACATTTTTGAAGAGCAGCTCGTGAATAGCCTGTGCCTTATGTAATTCAATAGGGTAATGTGAGTTACCAATGTTCACCAAGTGATTTACAATTTGTATGGCAGGATAATTAGTTAGACACAGTCCAAAGGGCAATAAAACAAAAAAAATTTAAGTATAAACGTGTATATAATGTTTCAAGAGTTAAGCTATTTAGGATAAACAAATGTAGTTGTTTCATGTTACAATTTGAAGTCATTCTAGAAAAAAAAAAGGGAAAATTTAGATTTCTTATTCTTTTATGGTAGTTACGAGGTCAGTAAAAATTGACCAACCTTGTATTAAGTTAGAGTAGAAGAAATAACAGATTCAGTATAAAGTTTTACTGAAAAAGAAGTTTGAAATTTATCATTAAGTATGGTAATATTAAATAGTAGGAACTTTGATGAAACAGAATGGCAGTTATAAAAATTGCCCATTTAAAACCACCTTTAAAATGTCTGAATATTAACAATGACTATTTCACAGTACTGGATGAGCAAAACTAAAGCTTATAAAATTCATTGGAGCTTGTGAAAAAGGTTCAGTGTTAAAAACAATGACTTATTGTACACAATTATAAAAACAAGACTGTTCCCAGTGTCAAAAAATACAATAAAATACTAAATGAATGGAAACAGTCTATAACACTCAACATTTTGGTGCATTACTGCATCATCTTCAGAAATTTTTGAGACTGAGAACAGTCTTATTTTTAGAATTGTGTTCAATAAATCGAATGTTTATTAAAAAGTGAATTTTTAACACTAAAATTAAAACTTATTGTACTTATAAAGCCACCTAAATCTCTATGTATTTATGGAGTGAATTAAAATTTCCCTATTTCATCTAAGTAAGTGACTTTTCCAGACAAGTGTACAGAAAAAAATGACAAATCTTATCTCTCTGATTGAAAAGGATACTAGTGTTTGTGTGTGTGTGTATATATATACATACACACAAAACAGACAGTATGCTACTTTGGACATAATTAGATTTAAGGGTAGGTTGGTTGAGATCCTCATGAGTATACACTTGATATTGCTGCCTCACAAAAACATAGCTAGTAAAATGGAAACAAAGAAGTACAATAAATAATTTTCAAATTTTATATAAAGATAAGTATGGATTGATATATACTTAACCTAGCTAGCTATAATAATCTAAAAAGTGTTAACACTACAAAAAATATTGAAACAAGAAGGTCAAAACTACAAAAACTGAGTTACTTAAAATCTTATCCCAACTTTAGCAAATCACTGTAATTATGTTAGTCTGAGCCAAAGTAGGAATAAAATGTTTTAAATTTTAAGTGACTCGGTTTTTGTAGTTTTAAATTTTTTATTTCAATACTTTTTGTAGCTTTAAACTTTCTATATTACTATAGCTAGCTAGGTTACATATATATTGATCCCTACTTGTCTTTATATAAAAATTTAAAATGTTTTATTGTATTTGTTTAGAAGGTTTCAGAGGTTATGCAAATTAAATTTGGCAATTTTCAGATGAAAAGTATTTTTAATCTTAACTTGAAATCAATTTGCACTCAGAGCAGTCAACACTCACTCCATGTATTCATGGAGACATTTTTAGGAAAAATACTTCTTTAAAAATTCTGATTCTTTATTGTCTACAAAAGACTTAATGCTTACTGAGAGTTTGTAGAATTTTGTGAAGGTACACTGAACACTAGATGTTCTAATATTAAAACTATAAAGTTCAATTTGGGGTCACGAACTTGGCTGATTTGACCAGGACTGTAGCAAGAGAGTTAACTAGAATTATGATTGGTATAGAAAGATATTATAGGGTTTGAGTTATGTGGTGGTTCTGTTTTGATTATTTCATTGGTACCCTTCAGTTTAAAAATATATATATGAAACAGTTATTGTTTTGCAAACTCAAACTGCAAGAGGAATGTGGAAAATTTATGATCTTAATAACTTTTCCCAACAGTTTGTTTTTGACCAGTGTTAAAAAGTTCTACATCTGCTAATTCTCATAAAATGACTGGGATTTCCAGACTTTCTACTGCTATTATAATAATAAAAATATTATTCACTACTGAGACCACTCATAGTGTTGTCTACTTAACTCCGCTTCCCAGTGACTCCATAGTAAGCATGAGGACTTGTGATGCTAAAATTCAGGGTTAAGTCCATGTGGTAGGAAGATATCACATGGTACAGCTTTACAATTAAACAAATGAACCATGTGATTCTAAGACAGTAATACTGTTTTAAGCAGAAATTGTGAAGCCGTGCATTGTTTTTATATTGATATTTCATCATAATGTTTCAAAATAAATAAATTTGATTCAACCACAATGTTTTTCATTTTCCTTGACTTTATAATTATGTGTGTACTTGAAATTTAAAATCAACAGCAATTGAATGTAAAAGGAAATTTTTGTTTTCCTTGTGTCATATCAGTAGTTTTGGTTATTGGAAGTATTACTTTAGTTACTTAGCTTTTGTATGTACATTTAGCAACATTTTAATTGCCTCTATTAGCTTTATATGTTTTCTTTGGCTCTATTTTTAAGGTGATAAGAGAGAAGAAAATATAACAACAGTATTTTAGGTTATGTGACAATCTGTAATTGTGTGGAGTACCCAAAGACATGGGGAAGTTTTTTCTTGATGCACTAAAAATTCTGATTTGATGGTGTTTTTATAATTGATAACTTGTGCATATTTTTTGGTGAAATTTATAATTTGAAATATTAAATAATGTATGATGTTGGGTTTATTTCACTATTGTAGCTACTATTGAATTGAAACAGTAATAAATGTTGGCTGACTCAGTCTTAAAAATAGTCAAATGTTTAATTTAACAACATTATTTTTTTTTATCAAGCAGAGATTGATTGAAATAATTAAATATTTGATATTAAAAGTGGGTTTAATTAATTTAGAATTAATTAATATGAGCATGAGATTGTAAGTATATTTATTACCATTTATGTAGATACAGCAAGTTCACCAAATGATTCTGAAAAAAAAATAATTCAGACATTAAATGTGTTCTAGGTCATTCTTTCTTCAAAAAAATGACAAATATAACATTTAGTATGTGACATAAAACAAAGATACAACTGTATACTAGTGATTTGCTTTGTGAAATACAATTTTTCATACCAGCAGAAAATATTGAGTATCACAATTATCATTATTTTCCTGAAATTAATTCAATTTTTCTATATTATTTGCATAATAGGTTAACCCTATGTGCAGTGGTTGGTGTTAAAGTGCACAAGCCACAACCTTTTACAGAGTGCCATTCAACATGATATTATTATTTAATGTATGAGTTATTAGTTAGTCATTTTCTCCTAATTTAGCAATAGTTTGTGAAAGAGGAAAGCAAGTACTAGATACAATACACAGGAATGCTGAAAAACTAAGATATGCAAATTTTATGATTGACAAAAGTATTTTAATTCTTCACATGAACATCACCTTACACTCCTACTTTTCAGAGTCTGAGTTAGACTGACATTAGCAATTCATAGACATATTTTGAGTACAGATAGGCTTTTAACACGTCTAACTTTTTGGAGTACAACACTCGTGCATTTGACTAAAACCTTGCCACACTTCACATAGATACATGTAGTAAATTCGGAAATATAATCAACCTCACTTCTCTAATGTGACCCTTTGTACATTCAGTTGAATAAGCATAAATACAGTTAACTTGATGTTAATACTTTTCAATTTGGCATTTCAGCTTCTTCCAAAACATTGTGCACCACTAATAGCACAAGCTGTGAATAAAAAGAAACGTGACAAGAAGAGTAAAACTATTCAAGAGCCCGACAAACCTGGCTTAGAAAGCTATCGTAGAAGCAGAGAGGAACTTACAACGTATGTTAAGATTTTTAATGTTTGTCTTTCAGTTTGTGTTCTTGTAAGTTATCATTGGAGTGAAAGTATTCAAAAATGAGAACAAGTAATGTTAAAAGTTATGAAAGACATAATAATTGTAGAAGTTGTTAATAAAATATCAAATATTTTCAGTAAGATTGTGACAAACAAAGACCAATCATTGCCATGGTTAGTAGCCTATGATCTCTTGCACCTATTTGTTATTGCAAATTACTATTTAATTATTTCACTGTGTTTCAGTTGTTAATCTATTGCCATCTATTAGAAGTTCTGAGAAGGACTGTATGTGTTATCAGGATCTGTGGTTCAAACATTTTTCTTGCCATCATATATAGTCCTCAGGACTTCACTGAGGGTGGCAGCATATTAATAACTGAAATATAGGATAAAACTAATTTGTAATTAGTTAATTGAACAGGCTACTAATGATGATAATGACTGCTCATAAAACTGTGCTTTTGTTTTATTTTTTTATTTTCTGTGTTTATGGAAATTGTAGATTTTTAAAATGAATGTTTTGTTTTTGAAAATACTAAAGCTACTGGAATGCTGTCTAAGTGGATATATAACTTTTCTTTTTTAACCATTATTATGTTAACCTTACTTCTCCAATGTGACTCTGTGCACATTAGGTTAATAAGCATAAATACAGTTAACCTGATATTAATACTCTTCAATTTTACATTTAATTTTCTTATTTTTTTCTTTTTTTTTGACAGCTTTCGAATATCTTGTGTATTATTGCATTCGGTACCTCAACTTGAGCTATGCATTTGCCATGTGATTCATTGTTATTAAAATATTTAAACTGTAAAAATAGCAAGGTCATTGCTATTGCTGAGCTCAGATCAAGTAGCTAAGGGAATTATTTTAAGGCACTTATGGCTTGGTTAGAAAGCTATTTAATTTATAATAGTTATAGGATATTGTTTGCTTTGTGGATGTTATTATTGTGTATATTTGAAATATAAAAAATGTACTAGTACCATCTTTAAAAAAAAAAGTATCAATGGCAGGCTAACGTAAAAAAAAAGGACAAACATAAGTACAATTTTTTTAGGTATGTTTTTTTAATGTCAGTAAACTATCTAAAATGTAAAAATTAAAAACTTGTTAGGTTAGATAAGGAAAAAAATTAATAAAAAAATTTTGGTATGAGGTATACTTGCGAGTATCTTGGGCATTATGTCATTCAGTACCATAACTTGAGCTACACATTTTCCATGTGATTTACAGCTTTCATTACAAGATTATTTGTTGGGCACTATTGAAAGAGCAATAAAACAGTACAATTACAATGAAACAAATGTAAGCTTTTGCAAGCTTTAAACTGTTTCGGATAAATAATTTTAATTTTCTGTTACAGTCTGTAGTCATTCTAACAAGGAAAGAGAGGTAGCTTAGATTTTTTCCTTTTTTGTTCTGTGGTGGTTACAAGGTCAGTGAATCTGACTGATACTGTGTAGTGTTGGGGTAGAGAAAAAACACAGACACAATATATAGTTGTACTAAAAAAATTTGGCATTCATTTAGGAGGTTTTAGAGCTTGTGCAAATGAAATATTAAAACTTTAAGGTGAAAAAATGTATTTTTAATCTTAAGACAAAAATCACTTTGCACTTTGACTAGTCTGAGTCATACCCTGGCTTCATATATTCAGGACAAATCTTTATTAAAATACTTAATTAAAAAATTCTGACTTTTTTTGGCATGCAAAAGGCTTGTAATGTTTACTAAAAGCTTGCAGAATTTTGTGGAGATATGTGAACCACATTAAAAGTTATAGTATGTATATTTTTGTGGTTACATGATGGTTACAATGTTGATCAAAATGACCAAGTCTGTTTCGAGAGTTAAAGAGCTTTCTGTTTTTTCTGACAGATTAACTTAAAACTTTATGGGATGCAAATAAAGAGCTCTAAGATAGTTTATTTATTTCACTAATTTTCTTTTGATACTGAAACTTGTAATTTCAAATTTCTTCATTTTAAGTTGTCTCATACAAATTTGGTTAAGGTTTGGAGTCCAAGAATTATTTAAACAGCTTTTTACCATACACTTTTTGAGTATGTCCCTGTTTCTACAGATGAGATCTAACCTTATACCAAGAAAGAATAATCCATACACTCTGAATATAATTAGTTACACAAATATAATTTTTATTTTCCTTACAAAAGGCAAAAGCACTATTTTTCTGAAAGAAAACAAAAGTTTTATTAGTTTAAAAGATAGTTAGTTGATGCAATATCATCAAAACAAAGCTGATGAACAGATTAAACCTGTTTCAGTTGAATAGTGAGATTTGATGTTAAGATGTGTCTCTGTCCAGACCTGAGTTTTGATATGTTTTGTGTAATGTTATGGCTGCATTGCTGAATGAAGAGCTTTTACAAATGATTGGAGTAATTATGATCTAAGTGTTTGGTTTGTTATAATCTTTTTGAACTGATAGTGTTCAAAATTCACTTATTTCTAATTCCAAGTATCCTCGTAAGGGTTCGTCTTTTGATCCTGATGTGTGTCCAATACTTGGTAATTTTCAATTACTTTCTTTGTCATTTATTCCCCAGCTGTTACACTGTACTTATTATGTTGTTCATGAAATGTTTGGATATTGTAAAGAAATGTTCAGCAAACTACTTAACTTTGGTACTAAAAACAACCCACTGACAGACTAAAATTCAAAGAAGTTTATACAGATAACAAACTAGCAGACATCTTTGGTATTGCCTATTGGTGGTTCAATGGTAAGCTTAAGGGCTTATAATGTTAAAACCTGGACTCTGATCTATGCAGTAGGCATAGTGCTGGTAACTTGTTGTGCAGTTTTGTGCTTCAACAAACAAGCTTTTAGTATTGTCTTTAGGTCATGAAGGTACAATCCCACTGTCAAAAATCAAGCAGGGGTTTGAAATGACTCAAAATTATTTGGCTATCCTGTTAATGTTCTGACTTAAATTGGGATCATACATAATTGTGATTCTGGTCTGTGGTTCTCTGTCCCAGTAGATCTGTGTGGTAAAGCATACTTGTACAACACGGTGACTGGGTACCTACAACCCAATAATCAGATTTTTTTAAATTAATCTTAATTAAGCTGTAAGAGATTAATGATTACAAACTTCCTTAAATATGTTATGATGGCTTAAAAATATATACATATATATATTTTGTGGTTTGAAGTTAAAGTATTTGTCAATTCTGAATATTGCTTGAAAGTTGTAGACATTTTGGTAGCGAAGCATGGTAGGAATTAACAGTTGTGTTCTAGCTGGATGGTAAACTTGATATTTTTATGTTTGGTCAGATGTGGGGAAAGAATCTACAGTTCTGGTGGAATTAGTACTACCATCAGATCACTTTGACAGTTTGAGACACTTTGGCATTTACCAGTATATTAATAATAATGCCTGTCTTCTGAATTAGTATTGATAAAATTTGTTTTTGTTATGTGCTTATTTTTACAGTTTTGTCTATCTCATATTTATACACACATGTAAGAACTACTCAGTCCAAAACTATAATTTTTATCTCGGTAACTTGCTCAGCAGCAGTTTTCAAATATTCTCTGTTCTGTACAAGTAAGTCCTATTCTCTCTCTCTAAAATTCATTACCAAGTTCACATGCTCCTCAATTTATTGTTTTTTTTTTAGCTCACTACTTAACAAATATCTTAGTTAAACTATCTAGTGTATTCTAGTCTTGAAAAATATGAATGTAAGAAAGGTATATTTAATTAGCTATGCTGATTGACAGGTTGATATTTAGTTTTGCTCAAAGTACCTAGCTTGCTCTAACTGGAATATTAATTCTAGTATATCTTTATTATTAAAATCCTATTGGAGAAACTTGGAGTACTCACTATAAACCAAATTAATAAAGTATCAAAACAGTAAAATCATGTATCACTTTCTTGTTCTTTTTATTAACATTATAAGCCCTTAAGCTTACCATTGAACCACCAATAGACAATACCAAAGATGTCAGCTAGTTTGTTATCTGTATAAACTTCGATGAAGTTTTAGGATCAACTTCTTTGAACTTTAATCTGGGTTGTTTTTTAATACCTGAGGATAGTGGAGCATTCACTATAAACCAAATGAATAAAGTATAAAAAACAGTAAAATCCTGTATCATTTTCTTGCTCTTTGCTTTTTTTTTGGGGTGAAATCATTTGTTCATGAACATTTTATTCTCATTTTTATTGAAAATATACTAAATTCTTGTGTTTTTTCTATTTTCCAAATATAGAATTTACTTTAAATACATCTTTAAGTTTACATTTAAAATTTTTAACTGTAGCAAAGTGTCCTAATGATTTCTGTCTCGTATTCAAAGAAATAAACATACATATAGTTTTTATTTTAATTTCATAAATGGTGACAGTAATGCTAAGAGCTTTAGGTCAGTGATATTTTGTATCTTAGAGATATGAATTGGTTACATATAAAAATAAAAGAGGAAAAGTTTTTACTAACCTTTTTAATTATCCTGGTTGTTAATGGTAACTCACAATATCTGTAAATGTATCTGACCAGAATGGACAAGCTGCATATGGCTTTAACAGAGCTTTGCTATGCCATCAACTATAACAGCACAATACCAGTATGGGAACATACTTTCTGCCCCAGAGAATATCTCTCTCAACACCTGGAAAGCCGTTTCAACAAGTGAGTTCTGTTTGGAGGGGAAATGAATTTGTCTTGTGATTTTCATTGTGTAACATTTTGAACTTTTAAGCCTATTCATATCAGTCCCCACTATATGGATATAGCCTAAAAGTTATCTAAAAGAAAGTTACTACATCAAATGTTGAAAAAGTTTACATGATATAATTAAACTGTTAGTTAAAATTAGACTTTTATTTATCACATAAAGTCAGATTTGTCTATTACAATTGTGTGATATGAAACATCGTTGAATCAGTTCAAGTATTGAATAACTGGTATTGATTACCTTGACCAATTTGCTAACAAACTGTATTAAAGAGGCAGAGCAAAGTAAAAAAAAATATCTCTATATTTGATATATCAAAGATAAGGGCATGAAATTAACTGATTTTGTCTGAATTATATTTTATATAGTCAAAGTAAAATTAAGAGTATAGTTTGTTTACGAATAACGATAATAAACATTATGTTTATATATTAGGTAAAGTAGTAAAGAATTAATCTACATAGTTTTGGTTATATCCTCCTCATTATTATTCTCTTTAAGTTATTCTGACTTGAAACAAGTCAAGTTTGCCAAATAAACTTTGAAATATTATATATTTATATATATACATCAATTAACTCTGAAGAGCAGATTTCCCTTGAGCCTTGAGAAGCACCTGTATAATGATTAAATACAAGTTGTGCATTTAAATGTGTGATGAACATATTATTTCTGTAATAATTAATTTCAGGCATGTATTAGAGCTTTCATATTTGTGTAATGTTATTGACTTCTTGTGTTAATTTTTTTTCTTGTTTAACAATATACTTGATGCCCATATGTAAAAACTGAGTTGCATACAAGTATTGATATTATAATAAAGATGATAACCTCCACTGTCTATGAAAGATGTAACACAACATCTGACAGGATATTGGATATATTGCTAAGTTCTGCCATATAATAAATACTTTTCAAAGACAGTCACAAAAAGTGGCAAAATAAGTGACTGAATGTTGTTTGTTATTTTAAGTAAAAAGTATTAAGTATTAAGAATTAGTTAATATATTTCAGGTTCTTTGGCTGTCTAACAGAGTTAAACCAAAATGACTTGAAAGAATATAAACATTTGTACTTAAATATTGCAAAGTTAGCTTCTCCAACATTAAAATTAATTTAATATTTGAGAACAAAACCGATTTTACATATTGTTACACAGTTTTACTAAGACTAATTTAAAAGATTTGTCATTTTTGGAGAAATTGGCTTGATTTAGATATGTCAAAAAAATTATAAGAGTAGTTTCAATGCTTTCAGAATTTTTTGTATGAACTCACTTAAATTAGGCATGAACATCAGTGGGAATTCTTCCTATTTTTGGATGCTTGAGTTAACATAAATATAAAATATGGTAGCAAATACTTGTTAATTATATAAACTAGTTTAAAGTTATCTGGAATAGAGCATTCTTAACTATCAAATTATTCGTTTGTTTTTACACCATTCATTACCAATAGGGTCCTCATGTTTCATCTTATTGAGTCAATTTATCATGTGTTTATAAAAACCAGATCAACGTGATTTGGTGATGTTACTCGTTTTTTGTGTAAAATAAATAGAGGTACCCTAGAAGTAAGTAATAATGGCATTAATTGCAATACTGATGGTATTTTTGTTTAATTTGATCTTGTGTGTGCATAACCCATATGTTATTAAGGACCTAGTAACCAACAAAGTCTCAGACCCACAAGCAGTTTGAGTTTGGTGCATAAATAGCTTAGAAAAATGTGTTTAAAAACCAGTGAGGTTCATATGAATCCAATTAGAAATTATGAGTTTAAATTATTAGAATATTCCCTGAGCTTAGTTTTTGATTTTATTACTAGCTTATAGCAATTAATCTTCACTGCCTAGTATTGTAGCTGAACAGTTCTCAGAAATATTATACAAATAGGTTTATGTATCACTTGTCTGTGTCCGTAAATAAAATGTTATTTTAGTGATATAATTTAATTTTGTAAGCGTGACTTAGTGTTTGAACCTTCTGAAGCCTAATTTAATATTCCACAATTGCCTTGTAATTTCTGATTTTTACTTAATTTGTGCTTAAAAATGCTTTTAAACTTAATATCATTATTAAAGTTCTTTGAATAATTACTAAAATTGAAGGCTGGGATTTGTTTTGAAAATATGGTTTAAAAAAATTGAAAGTTTTACTCAACTATGAATGTAACAATTTAAATACAGTTAGATATTTTGATTGTATGATGTAAATATTTAATGTGTATCATCCAGATATTAAAGAATGAAGGAATCAGGTTGTCTAATATTGGTTGTATAGTTTGTGTGTCTGCTTTACAGAGCTCTGGTGGGGATGGTGATGTATAATCCAGAAAATAGTGAGATTGCCAAACCTTCAGAACTCCTAACAAGTGTCAAAGCATACATGAGTGTTTTACAGAGCATAGAAAACTATGGTTAGTAATCATTTAAGTTGATTCCAGCAATTTTCACAAAATGCAAACTGTTGTAGCCAACTTTGGAGGATCTTGTAATTTTTACAAAATATTAAGTAGGTCTGTTGTCATCTTTGGCATTGATATGTATTATTCTTATTTGTTATTCAAGTTAAATTACAATTGCAAAAGTTGTATAATCATTTATAGAATGGTTGCTTTTAATAAGTAAAATAGAATATTAGAATATCATTACATGTGTTGATAAAAACTTTTTTGAAACTACAAATGCAAAACTATGCATGAAACATTAACTTCAAATGATCTTGATAGAGGGAAGTTTACCAAAATATCATTAATTATTTATTTATTAACATTTCATTAGCTCTTTAAGCAAGTACAATTGATTTAATTGAATCATAACAATGTGTTGCATTACTAGTTTACATTAGAAGTTGCTAGCTCTAAATTATACAGGGTCTGGCTCCTTTAATAAGAACTATATACTTTTTCAGACTTGGGCCTACCTGATCTACAGATGTAAGTCAGTTTGATGTGTCAGTTGATCTTTTCAGCCTTAAAAATGACTGGGACAAGCACATTTGCAGTCAATTATAACAAACATGAGAAAAGGCAAAGATATTAAAATGTTCAAAAGAGGTCTAGCATTCCAAAGTGGCCAAGACAGTTTCATTGGTAGGTTGCTCCAATATATTGGTGATTTGAGTTTATCAGCAATTGAAAAAGTTAAATAAAATGCCTGCTTCAAAGAGGGACAGCAATTATGTAATGATAGAAGTAGGAGAAAGGCAGACAGGATAGTAAAATCCAACTGTCATCAAACAATACATCAACTGAAAGACATTCAGTGTAGGAGAAATTCACTCCCATCTTTAACTTATCTTCCAAAAAATGGACTATGACAGTAGGAGACCATTACATAAACCATTGGACTCAATTACCAATGAGGATAATGCCTTGAGTGGTGTAAAGAGCATAGACATTGGACTAATACGGACTGATAAAAGATTATACAGTCCAATGAATCACACTTTACCTTTTTTTGCACAAATGTGGAAAATACAACTTGAAAAAAGCCACAAGAATATATCAGCAATATTTGTAGTCCCAACTGTCCAAGCCTTTGGTGGTGAAGTCATGGTTTGGTTCAGTTTGTCCTGGCATTCCTTAGGCTCCCTTTATGATCAAGTACATCCAACGATGCTTCACGTGTACTCATGTGGGTAGAGCTACTTCCAACTCAACAATGCTTCTATTCACCGTGCCCATATTGTGAATGACTGAGATTTCAGACATTTCCCATGGTTACCACAATTCCCACACCTAAATCTATTTGAGCGTCTTTGAAATAAACTTGAAAGACACATTTGCCATCATCATCCTCTGCTTACGTTGCCTCACAAATTGCATACAGTATTAATGACTGAATGGCAAAAACCCTTAGGACACCTTCCAGCACCTGTTGAATTCTGCTATGTGGTATCATAGGTGTTATTTGGATGAAAGGTGGCTCAATCCATTATTAGGTATAGTTCCCAATAAAGTAGCCAGACTCTGTATGTAAACAAGTGACACATTTTTAAAAATAGCTTTTTTATTGTATATATATATATATATATATTATTTTTTTTTAAATTAAAACTTTTCATGACAAAAGCTTAGATGCAAAAAAATTTCACATAATCACTAAATCAGTTTTTTCTTATTTTATATTTATAGGACATTTTGTATGTGGATTTTCTCTGCCTGTCATGTTAGATTCATTATTCAGTGTAATAAAAAATGAATAGTTGTACTTGAATGTATCTATGGATAATAATTACCAGTTTAAGAAAATATTCTTCCTTACTGCAAAAGCTGTAACTTGTAATAAAAAAAACAGTATTTGATGTTATACCACCTATGTTATAATGAACTGCAATAAAAAATAGGAATAGTAACAATGAAATTATGTTTACAAATCAGTAATTGTCTTAAGTGGATCAAGACACACTATTGATTAAAATGAAAACATCATTTTTTGAAAATTTTCACCATCCTCTCCCTTTCATACTGTATACACTTTTTATATCTTGGTGCTACATCCTGTGAAAACACCATATCCTTTTATCAGTGTTATTATTAGTTTCTTACATATTTTCTGGCCCTAGTATAAACTTCGTGTGTCTATGATTTATAACAGTATATATATATATACAAAATTTTTTATCTGAATTTTGTTTGTTGATGTTTTTTAGTGCAAAGCTACACAATGGGCTATGTACCCTCTGTTCACTGCAAGAAATCAAAACCTTAACATATAAAACTGTAAACTTAACACTGACCATTCCCTGGTTGGTGAGTGTTAAATATAAAAACTTTGTCACTGCCAAGAGGGATTAGAGTTTGTCTAAAGTCCTGTCCTTGTGATTTCATTATCATACAAGTAAACTAATTTTTTTATTTGGCATATTTATGATACTATATTAATGGTACTTTAACTTAAAGATACAAGATGTAGCAAAATGTGCCTTGCCCTCTGGTAGAATGTACATTAAAATAAATTGGGAATTTTATTAAACCATAATTTAAAAGTTCTGAATTTGGGTTTTGCTTGTCATGGGTCTCAACTTTAAAACTCAATTGTAAAAGTTACATATGTTATTGACTTGGCTATTTATTTTCAAATTATTTGCTTAAAACATTATATCTACCTGACCCTATTTATTTGCAGCTTATTAGCCAATCTGTGAACATACTGGAGCCAACATTGTTGTACAATTCCCATGAATTTACTTTTTTAAATATTTGTTGTTACACTAAATTTACACTGTTTTTTTTTTTTAGCAGAGAATGTTTTAATTGAAATGCTGTCCATTAGAAGGTTTTAACTATCTGAGCATGTTAGTAAAAAGTGTTGATTTTCTGTAATTCTATCCTCTTCCAGTTCACATAGATATCACAAGAGTGTTTAATAATGTTCTTCTTCAACAAACACAACCTCAGGACAGTCATGGTGATAAAACAGTTACTTATCTGTACACAGATTGGTAAGTTTTATTTTTTGTGATTTAATACCATGTTTACTGGTGCTCTCTCTTTTTTTCTTAATTGTAAATCACCTATCAAGCTTACCATTTGAGCTGCTTTTTGCACATGAACTTTTACTATGGCATCCTGATTTAATAAACAATGTAAGCCTTATCCTTGTTAATTTAACTAGTAAATACTTTGTAAATCCTTGTATACACTGATCCAGAGCTACAGAAATATTGCTCACACTCATGCGACGTGTGACAAAAATTAAACTGATAGACTAAGATTTCCTTTGAAAATTAAATTTATTTAATAAACGTAAAAGCCCTAATTAAAATATACACAAGTCTCATCAAACTTTAAGTTAATAGAGATAGAGAACTCCCCACTCAGCTTTAAAAAAACGGGGGACGGGGAAGGATGTAGGTTATAGCAATATAAAGCTTAAGAACTATTCATTCCATTGTTGGGCAATAGTGAACTATAAAAGTTAAGCTTATTGTATTTTATATTAATTTAGCTTATTAATAAAAGTGATAAGAAAATACGGGTCAAATAACCACAACACTTGAAGTTTGATGGCATCATCCTTATTCATACTACTACTACTGTTTTCTGGTAGAGAAACTACTTTAAACATGACAGATCTAGTTTACAGAACTCCTGCATCTGTATGTAGTGTGGTAGACTAAAGATCTTTATAAAATTCATTGTTTTATTTATTCCTTTGTGTGGGATTATGTAATGGATATTTCAAATGTGAAGTTAAAATAAAGAATTTTATTTCGTTTGAAGCAAGGTGTATGTCATCACCACCCTACCCAGAAATTAGCAGTAAGTAATAAGTCCAAAGATTAAGTCTGTTTATGTCCTAAAGATTTTGGTCATTCTTCTGGCATGCACTCACCTGCCAAGACTATTAGTTACTAGTACATTTTGAATTCATTTTAATTATTCATGAAATTCAGAGATTATTTTAACTAACAGTGTCAGTTTAGATGTAGTGTTTGTCATTTTTCATCTATGAAAACAAAAGATAAACATTCTTATAAGAAAAAAGTTTTTCTCCATTGTTCATATATTGAACATTTTAGTGTAAAATGTATACCTGATAGACTATATTGGGTGAATGTAATTGATGCATAACCCCCCAAAAAAAACAACAACAACAAATTAACCTTTTCAGTTAATAATGGATGGGATTTATCACTTCACTTTGATGATAAACTACCTTCTTCATAGCACAAGGTAGTGATTTATACAAATAAAATAAAATACACCATTAAAAAGAAAGCATATAGATTGCAATGTGTAAGTTTTTAAAGTATCTGACTAAACTAAAGGTTTGCTATAAACTCTGATGTTATTAACAAATGAAAAATCAGTAATTTCAAGTTGACTTTTCTCTGAATGTATGATTTAACATTGTCCAAAAACATTAATTATCTGATAATTGTTGGGTATTGATAATTATGTTAACTATATCAACTACTTAATGTAATGTGTGTAATGAAATCATTATCTTCGTAGCTCTATAGATAGGTTTTAAAACTGATTTTTTACAATTCAAGTTTAGATTTCATTCAGAGATTTTTTGTAATGCCTTTTGTAATTGCTATCAAGTCCAGTTTTATTATTACTGGAAAATTATACCCATCATACAAAAGAGAGGAAATATGTGATCATAATGTTTGATCAAATTATAGCCAGTTTTCTTTGCTTTATCACATGACAGTCCTTTAATATATATTTCCAGTTCCAATACTAAAAATGCTGTTATTAACTAATTTTTGGGCTAAACCTAAAACATGATGGGCTTAGAGGGCTAAATGTAGTAAATGGTTTTGAAACTGATACTGCAATTATTCAAGACAAAAGCTTTGAAATTTAGATTTGATTACTGTATCTGATCCTGTAAATCTTTTAGTTATTTCAAAGTGATTATAGATAGATAGGTTGAAAAATACATACAAGATTAGGTAGACAGATCGATGCAATCCTTCCTCCATAGTAATGTTGATTTTTTCTCTTTACATTTTGCTATGTTTGTCTCAGCATATCTGTATATAGTTTTGTAAATGTTGATATTTAGGTACCTAGAAGTACTGCTACGGAGAGTCAGTACTGGTCACATTTGTTTTTCAAGGAATCAGAAGGCATTTGTGACTTTATCAACTGATAGTCAACTTCCGTTTATTGCAGAAGAGTTCTCTGACGTAAATGGTGAGATTGTTGATGTTTGAAAATAATATTCAAATTTGATCTAGTAAAATCCCATGAAATATATAATTTGATTGCTAGCTCAGTGATCCTTCTTTTTAATTATTGAAAGACTTGTTCTCATGGCATGTAATCACAGATTCAGAGGTATAAAGACATTTAAACCCTTTCAGTCTGTCTTTATGGTTACTCCTAAAACACTGTAATAACTTCTGTCTGATTATTATTATAATCTTTCACCCAAGTAAAATATTGTAGAAAACCCCAAATTTTTGTTGTCTTGTTTTTATTTATTCCTCACCTGTTATATTTGTTCTATAAGCGAATTGCATAAGCTGTTTTGTATTATTTTATATACCTATAAATATTATTTATAGTGCATATAAGAATGATAAGTCTTATTGTCCTGGTAAACTTCATTGTTGCCCATAGAAATGAAGTTCAAGTAAGTACCATATACATCATTATTATATAATTAAAAATAGGCTTTGGTATTATTTTCTTAATTTTGCTACTGTTACTGAATTAATTTTGTCTTACAATAATGGATTTATTATGTCATCTCAGACATCTTTCTAATCGTTTTTCTTGTGTGTAAAATTTGTTTGGCTGAATATCTTGCCTCTACAGTTTTGGTAGTCTTAACTGACTAATAATCTTCAAAAAATGATCATGCCCATCTTATAGATGAGAGGAAATATGTGGTTAAAACTACACAGCGTGGTCACAAGTAAATAGACACCACCTTTTCAGAAAAAATGAAAATTTTCAGTCACATTCACATGAATTGATATATTTATAATTTAATTAATATCTAGTAGATCTTCCTTTTACTTCGTGGAGTTTATTGATCCTTTGGTGCATCACGAGAATCATCTCATTAATTTTAGATTGTGGGATTTTCGCCCACTCTTGCTTCAAAACTTGGAGTAGATCACTCTTCGAAGTTGGTTTTTTTGGTTGTTTCTTGACTTGCCGGTCGAGTATGGCTAAGAGGTTTTCTATGGAGTTCATGTCAGGAGATTGGCTAGGCCAGGGCAACTTCTGGATACCATTTTCTTCCTGCCACTTTTGGGTGTTTCTAGCAGTGACATGGTGCTCCATCTTCCTGGAACAACATTGTGTTCCTGAGGAATAAAGTGGCAAGAGTCCTTCCTCCAATATTTCGACGTATTTCGCAAAATTTATGTTGCCAATGCACTCCACTAAGCTCGATCTCCCACCAACCCAAACATCTCCCCAAACCATCAACGCTGAAACCACCATGCTTCACAGTTGGCTGCAATCTGTTGAGCCAAAACTCTTGGTGAGGCATTCTCCAGACCCATATCTGTCCACTGTCCAAAAATTGAGCGATTCTTGATTCGTCTGAGAACAATACGGTCTTCCAAAAGTCCAGAGGCTTGGTCATCATATCACTTGCCC